ATGATCACAAATTTTGAAATTATGTGGTTGCACATGGCGGAAATCATATTTGACGAATTTTGCACTTTGCACGACAATCGTAATTTATAATCGCCGTGCATGTGTATCCTAGACGACCCATAAACATTTGAGTAAACGAACCGAAACAAAGACGAATTATTCCGCCAGACCTTGCCGCCTACGCGTGGCTTGGCGAATGTTAAACATAAACAATAGCGTCACCAGCCCGGCAATTAACAAGTAGAGAAGCGTGTAATAAAGCAATAAAACGCGCTTCCCCAAACATTTAATTATCAATACCAACGTGATGCGCATATAGCGGATCAGCAGCGCTATTATTCGCGTACACGCGCGCTATAGGCTATGAAACCTTTGCGATTCGACGACGCAAGCTTTTTATGCGAAGCTTTGATTACGCGCGTTGCTGCCAGACGCAACAAAACCTTCGGTATTAACAGCGTTGCCAATCGCGCATTGAATGTTTACCGGAAGTTTTATGAATTAATTTCGATATCACAGACCACCAACTGTGCACCAAACTATGTAGCAAAGTCAACAGACGAATAACATTGATTGATTCTGGAACGAGATGCCTTCAATTGTGGATCTGTGGTGGAATTGATTACTTTTTGAGTAGCAGAGGAAATAAGATGGATGAGAAATGTGTAACATACGCCCATTGCTGAAAATAAAACGTGCACGTGTGTTCGGCGTTCTCAGTTTAAATTACGGGCAATAAAAGAAATATTAACGACTTGTTTTTATGACTAATTGCTGTACACTAGCACTCGGTGATTATTTTCGCTAATCCTCAGTAATTAATTAATTGTTTATAAGCCCTAATTAAAAATTATACACCTACGTTGCTTTTTTGTGTGCTGAAACGTAAAGCTGGTTGCCTGTAAACAACTTTTTGATATTTGGAGTAAACCAACAGTTTCATTTAGATTTAACCTTTACATTCCATAAAACTTTGCGAATATTCATTAAAATAAATCATCCCCAGCAATGTAAGGCCAATGTGAGCACGTGGAAGCAATCATTTCTAATAAAAGTCACAAACTTTGCCGTTAAATGTGCCGAACTTTTTCGTCTCATTTTTCGCCACTAGGTAAGCGTTCCACTTCGTAAAGTGCGTCGAGTACATTGGTAGGATGTGCGCGTAGAAACTTTTAGCTTCATTTTCTGGCTTCTCTCGTCGCGTAGTTAGGCGACAGAGCCGACAGAAGAGAGGATTAGAACAATGACTTCGGATTAGCTTATATACACACACACCACACTTCGTCGTTGATGCTTACTCATTTGAGGAGAGGTCTCTAACGCACTTCCTAACGCCGGAGCACTCATTGGAGCATGTATAACACGGCGTAAGTGCCGCGTACGTGAACGCATTGGATTGAATGGAGCGTAAGAGGAAATATTCATTACGGAACTTTTCTCTTTATAGCGTGCTGCCGACGAGATTGTTTCAGAGACAAGGTATTATGTCTGTAAGGCAAACACTAAGCAGGAGCTTATTTAGTTTAGTTTGAAGTGTATTGATGTTCATAAGTTATGATAAAAGATCATAAAGCATAAATCATGGATTTTTGCTAATTTTATTTGTAATAAAATCAAGAAACACGTTAATTATTAGTCTGACTTACAAATCAATGCCAAGGCATAGGTACATCAATAGGCCTGTTATTGACATTTGACATTTGAATATTCTCTGAATCCCGCACATTGCAATAGCGTAATCATAGCAGTAATTGCGTGCATACACATCTATGAAATTAATGCTGATGAGAACTAATTAATGCAATCGAACAAAATCCTGCAATTAAAATTTGGATATCAATACCGCATTAACGGTAAATGCAGATAGAAAGAAAAAACAGAATTGACGCCATTGACGTACGTGATGCATGCTGCATCTATGATAAATGATATCAGTCGAATGTACCCACCACAATCTCCTCCCACACGCACACGGTTGCATTTATTTGCTCTGATCCTGTCCATCTAATGAAAATGGAAATTTACGACTTTGCTGACCAGCGGTCAAACACGTACGCCAAATGTACAAATTTATTATCTTATAATGAGTTACGGCCGACATCAATGTCATTTCCTGCTTTTAGCGACGCGCCATTTTCTGGATGTCGAGCAGCGTTGTGCGTTAATATACTAAAACTAATGCCCCATAAATAATTTTCTTGCGATGAACGTATTAATATTTGGTAGATTTATTACGTGTTAATGATTAATTGTGCACCTTTATAAGGGCGATTGCCAACGTGCTAACGTAAACATAATAACAAGCAATTATCAACCCTAATGACCGTAAATCGCAATTTTGATAATGCCTTGTTGCAAAAAATGTGCCACAAACAGGCTACACATTAATCATTCTGCGCGCTACCACCCAATACATTAATTTTCAATTTTCTCTTATATATTAGGCTAAATCCTGGCAAAAAGATGCCTAACATAACCTTCACATATTTAGGCAGTGTTGCCAGATTGCTCCCATTACACCTGAAAGTACTGCAAGTGTTTAAAGTGATGTGTAAGTGACACTTTGAGTTATCGTAATTGTCTCTTGATCAACATCATACTCGTAAACGTTGTTTGAAGTCTACCGCGTTCAGCAAGTGTCTGAATTATTTCCGCCCTTGAATTCCATGCAATCATGTTTGTTCAAATATATTCATCTTGAGATTTACATTTCTTTGTTCTGTAAATGGCGTACAGTTTTTATATATTCATATCCAGGTCTATATTTAGTCTTAACTCTTCATTTGCATTTGGATAATGCGTAGGAGTCACATCAACTCCCATTATTTCTCCCCTTTCGTATTTCAAATCAAATATGAGAATATGCCTACCGTAAATAAACAGAAAACTCGCGAAATTGGAGATGAGCCTATTTATTATGTCCGGATATATAAATGAAATGGGAATTCGCCGCAGCACAAAAAATAATAAAATAAAAGCTCGCCAAATGGCGTATTTGGCTGGGCATTAATGGCTCATTATAAAAATATATTACCATCTTGTGATAAATCCTATAACATACATGCGCATGTTCTACTGGACATTTGAAAATTACTTCTTTAATATTATATTCAAAAACGTCAACCTTCTTTTCAAAGAACTAAGTGAATCTAAATTTATATTCGTATTGATCCATAAAAGAATCTTAAGCAAAAGTGAATCTGCACTAAGTTCCGAGTGGTTCTTGTATTTGTAGCTATCATTATTCTCGTCTTTTATGCCTCTGGCAGTCGAAAAAGATTTTATTTTTGTGAACAACCAGAATCTCTTTTAATATAAGGAAGCAGCAAACTTTTAAATATTGGTTTTATTTAAAGGCTGCCCAGATGAAAAGTACTAATGAAAATAAAACCTTATATTTTAAATTAAATAAATGTACTTCAGTATTTCACGAAACTAAAATAAATATGTTCTACATTCTATTGTTCTGGGTGGAAGTTCATTTTGAAGACTTCTCTCATTGTATTTTCTAGACTCTAGACTCCTGAGGAAAATGAGCCATAAAATAAATCTCAAACACGTTCAAACATGCTCATCTCTTTTTGAAATTATATTCTGACAAGGTTGGATATGACTGGGTACAGCAAAAGTCTATATTACTTGCATAATATAATATTAGTAGCTGGAGACTTTTGAAGTTCTCTTTGAATATTAGAACTACTAAACGCGACTTATCTACTTTCCAGTGTTTGCAATTTGTTTCCGAATATATTCATTTGTGTGGGTTGCAAAGGTAACACCAGTTTCATACGTTGTTTATTCATTCGGATGCTTGAACTCATTTTCCTAACACACGGCTTTTTATGTTCTTTTTTTATGAAATGTTCAAAATGTCTAAAAATTCGTTTGTCGTCGCTTGTTCATTTAGCTTTGTTATTTTTAGGTTTTGTTTTGTATACACAAAAAGAATTTTTTTAAGTTTTAAATCTAAAAATTGCCTTACTTTAGAATTTCCTCAGTTATTATTTTAGGAAACTAAACTTTTGCAAATTTTAATATTGGTGCAGTTAAAATAAATAATTTAATAATCTGTTAACAACCAGACCAAAAATCTTTTCAAAGTCATAACGCCTGCAATCGATAATGAGCCATAAAATCATATTATCACGACCTTTCGCTAAACTTCTGAGCAAATTTTCCTCGCGTTGTTGTTGTTTTTTTCCTCACTTCTCGAATCATTACCCCAGGGGGCGGATAAATTCAAAGCAGCGCCAAACTCTAAACATGCCAAACGCAAACAACACGTGCGGTTGCACGCACGATCGTAAAGTAATCCCAGCGATTTTTCTTCGCCCGGCAGCAAAAGGTATTTGCGTCGCGTTTTTCGCTCTTCATATCTGCGTTTTATATCTTTTATATTTAATGTTTTCATAATATGCACGGCGCGCACTAGTACTGAGCGCTTTTGAATGTATCCTCCTCGACAACAACAACAAAGCGATGCCCACATCGTCCTGAATTACCTCCGGGTGGCGACCATGTTTATGTACCGACTTCGCACCGTTTTCAATATTGTTTTCCCACGTCGCCGGCGCATTTTTGTCCCATGAGCGCCGCGGGTAAAGTGTTCACTGATGGAAGTAAATAGAATAGCAGACTGATGCAATTAACTATCTCACCAGAAAGAAAATTTCCCCAAACTCACAAAAATACGCTATTGGTGTTTGTAATCAATTAGTTATTTTTTGGGTGTTAATTTGATAAATCTTTGGCGAGTAATCTTAATTCCTCAACAAACGTTGATAAACGATTTCAAAGCACTGAAAGCAATTTAATAATTTAAAATTTAATTACAGTTGAACCTCACTGTAATTACAGCCGCAAAAGTGTTTGAAATAAATTTTAATTAAAAAATAATTAACACATTAAGCGTACTCGAAAGTGTACACTTTGGTGGCGGAAAAACTGCGTCGCTTAAAGAGTGACAGCCATGCAATTTTCTAATTACATTCTCAAATTACCTTAATTCTTGTCGCTGGTCGTACGTCTGCTCGTAGTGCTCCCTCTTCTAGATAGCTTTCTTAATTTTATTTTATCTAATTTTCACTCCAAGTAAACTTAGCGCTGTAATTTTAATTAACTAATTTACAATTTGCACTGAACCAAAATAAGTGTTTGTATAGTAGGTAGATATCTTGAATTTTAATGCAAATATTTACTGTCCTTCGGTGTTTTTCTGTTTTATCAAAAATTAAATGTTTATTGTACACATTCTCTTTTATTGCCACCAAAATACCCAAAACTTTTAAAAACTTTGTTTGTTGGTTGATATCTTGCAGTTTTTAAAAGTTTGCTAGTAGTTTCTTAGTAGAAATAGTTGCGATAGTTTAGAAGATAGTTGCGAGCGGAACCAGCGGCAACGCGAAAAGGGGTAGCGCGCAACAGGAAAACTTCCGAATTGCGTAGCGGCGTCGCGAATACTGGAACCACTGGAACATTAGGAATCAGAAATACGGGGAAAGCGCGTCACGCGCGTTGTGAAAATTCGAGCAGTGCGCTGCCATCTAGTCGCCACCCTCAACATCCGAAAACAACACAATTCAAACACGTGTTTAAATATTTATTAATCAGTAAATATTGTGATACACTTTTCTCTAGTATTACTAGTGTGCATAACAATGGATAAAAACAAGTACCTATTAATCAAATATTAATAAACCAAACTAGGTCAGTTTTAATAACAACTAATATCTATTCATAAAGAAAAAAACAATAAATATTTAATGTTTAATATTTATTTGCATTAAGTTGAGTTTATTATAATCTCTTTGTCCGTTAATTTACATTTTACGAAGAATTTCTGAAAGTTACGTTACATCATAGGCAACACAACATACATTAAAATAGATCAATATATATAATGATGATATATATCAGTACATTATATCTTGAATCTCGTGTATTACATTCGGTTGAATTTCAGCATTGATAAACAACGCGTTTGGTTCTTGTTTACATCCACACCGCATACAATTCAAACTGACCTGACTAAAGGTCGAGCCAGTTATCACTTTCATGCTGCTGTTTACCGCTCATCCTTCTCTACCAGCATTTGGAAACCCGACCAAACAACATTCATTCGAATTAATCGCTCGACCTTAACTCATCGGTTGCGTGTGCGGCCACAAAAGTGTCTGACACATCAGTTCCGTACGCTTGTCACAGTGGTCAAACATTCATACTAAAGCGAGAGTTATAGCGTGCAGTATTACCGGCTTTTCTCAAAATGCGTCTTTTTACGCATTGTCTTTTACTGATATCAGTATTTGCGTACTCAAACGCTTTTATTGGTGCCTATCAACCGATCCCAGTGGAAGATATTAACGGAGACCCCGGTAAGCCATTGTTTCTTACGCCGATTATAAAAAGTGGACAAATTGAACAAGCACAACAATTAGCGGCTGTTAATCATACGCATTTCAAAGGAGTAGATAGTTATTCTGGTTATTTGACTGTTGATGAAAAAACAGAGTCACATTTGTTCTTCTGGTACTTTCCGGCACAGACTAATGCTGATAAAGCACCGGTTTTACTATGGTTGCAAGGTGGACCTGGTGCCACTTCAATGTTTGGTTTGTTTGGAGAACATGGACCATTTGAACCTAAAAGTAAACATGGATTAAAACTGAGAAAGTATTCTTGGAACCTTAACCATAACATGATTTACATTGATAACCCAGTTGGTACTGGATACAGTCTAACAAAGAATGGATACGCTAAAAACGAAACAAAAGTCGGCGCTGATCTGTATGAAGCTCTGCTACAATTCTTCCAAATGTTTCCCAAACTGCAACAGAATGAATTTTTCGTTAGCGGTGAATCCTATGCCGGAAAATATGTCCCAGCTATTTCTTATACCATTCACAAAAACAATCCAAGCGCAGCTCAGAAAATAAATTTTGCTGGAATGGCCATTGGCAATGGTTTATCAGATCCGGAACATCAATTCAAATATGGCGAGTATCTGTATCAGTTGGGGATCATTGACGGTGCAGGCCGGAAGTTGTTCCAGGACGCTGAAGCACAAGCAGTGTCATTTATTCAAAAGAAAGAATGGCTCAGTGCATTCCAAGTATTCAATCGCATGCTGGACGCTGATTTGAATCAAACATCAGTTTTTACAAACATGACTGGTTTTACAAATTACTACAACTTTTTGGTGGCAAATGATACAAATCCAAAAATGGCTTACATGGGCAAATTCATCCAAAACGTTGAAACACGGAAAGCAATCCACGTCGGTGACTCCCCTTTCAACGGTTTGGGCCAAGATGTAGAAATAAACCTAGTAGAAGACATCATGCAATCGGTAGCTCCATGGGTGATCGAGTTACTGTCACATTATCCGGTTCTGATTTACAATGGCCAGCTGGACATCATTGTTGCATATCCGTTAACCGTGAACTACTTGAACAATTTAAAATTCAGTGCCGCTGATGAATATAAAACCGCAAAGAGATACGTCTGGAGAGTGGATGGGGAAGTTGCTGGTTTTGCAAAACATGCTGGTAATTTAACGGAAGTGCTGGTGCGGAATGCCGGACACATGGTGCCAACCGATCAGCCCAAATGGGCTTTCGATTTGATTACACGTTTTACACACAGGAAATCTTTTGTTTAATGAGGTTGTTAAACATTTGTAATATGCAATAAATTTTGATCAAGTTGAATAATAAAAGAATAGATATTTAAAATGTAACTAAACACGTTTATTGGCAGTAAATTCCTTGAAATTCTAAGATTCCACAGGTTTTATTCATGTAACTAATGTATACTTACCTTAGTACGAGTATATTCAGTGTAGTAAAGTAGTCGCAAGGCTTACAACAGAAAAAACAGGTTTTAGATGATAAATATTGAATGTTGAATTCTAATTTTTCTAAAACTCCTGTCAATGAAACAAAGGGAAGTATGAAGGGCGTATACAAAGTTATTATATTACTGGTTATATGTCTGAATACTATTTTAGGTAAGTAATGATATTTTATTTATCTGTATTTTCATCTAAACCTGTAATTTCAGTATGTATAAATATTGCACTAGTTGTATTCAAAAAAAGTGAAAATAGCGACAATTCGGCCATTAACGGTTTATACTTAACGCCGCACATCAAACTTGGTCATATTGAAGATGCCCAAAAAATGTCTAGAGTCCATCATCCTGAATTTCTTTACGTTGACAGTTATTCAGGTTACTTAACAGCCGATGAATCCACCAATTCACACTTGTTTTTCTGGTATTTTCCTGCTGCAAAAGTCTCAACCAAAACACCTTTAATTCTGTGGCTGAATGGCGGTTATGGCACATCATCCCTCTACGGCTTATTTGCAGAAATCGGCCCGTTTCACCCCATATCGTCCACTGAACTAAAACTCCGCCAGCATTCTTGGCATAAGCAGTACAACCTGTTGTTTATTGATAATCCCGTAGGTGTAGGTTACAGTCGAACGCAAAAAGGCCACACTGTGAATGAGGCGCAAGCCGGGCGTGATCTGTACACAGTTATGAGGCAATTCTATCGTTTATTCCCTGAATTAATGAGTAATGATTTTTACATTGCTGGAGAATCGTACGCTGGGAAGTATATTCCATCACTAGCCTATACAATTCACATGAATAATCAAAAAACTAAGCAGAAAATCAACTTCAAGGGTCTAATAATTGGTAATGGTTTTATAGATCCAATAAATCAGTTGAATTACGCTGATTTTTTGTATCAGCAAGGACTGGTGGATAAAGAGGAAGCTGATGAATTGAACGCAACTCAAAATAAATGCATTGATTTAATTTCAAACAAAAATTACACTGAAGCATTTAAAGTTTTTAGTGATATAATCTACGGCGATGTTGATTTCACGCCCTATGGTAGTTTTTTCGCCAATTTTACAGGTTTTTCAAATTACTACAATTATCTAATTCCTGATGATACTAATCCGATTAAATTATACACGGAGCAATTTTTAAATAAGAAAGATGTAAAGCGTGCTTTGCATGTTGACGAGGATGAATTTCTACTGAATGGTAACAAAGTTCAGCGTTCTGAAGTAATGGAATCGGCTGTAACATGGCTATCAGAACTACTATCACATTACAGAGTTTTATTGTTTGCTGGCCAGTTAGATATTATTGTAGGCTACCACAATGTTCACAATTTTATTGAGAATATGAGCTTTTCTGGAGATGACGAATTTATGAAGGCACCTAGAGTAAAATGGCATGTTGGAGACGACCTGGCAGGATATTGCAGATCAGCTGGAAATATAACAGAAATTATGGTGAGAAACGCTGGGCATGCTGTGCCAAAGGATCAGCCTTTGTTCACTTTAGATATGATTGATAGGTTTATAAATAATAAGACATTTAATTAATTAATTAATTATAAATAGTCGTAGTACGATGTTATTAACAAAATCAGTAATCACTTTCACCTAGTATTCACATAGTTATTCACGTTATCAATACAATGTTTTTTTCAAAATCGTTAACATTTTTACAACTGCGTCAAAACAACTAAGAATGCAACAAAAATAAACGAACAGTTAACAATTGGCATAAACTTTTATTTCAACTGCATAACACTTTAAAGCAGTAAAGTCAAACAACATGATTAAGTTTCACGTGTGGTTATTGTTTTTAAATATTTGTTATGCAACTGGAGACCCATTATTACTTACGAAGTTTATAAAAAGAGGAAAAATAGATGAAGGACAAAATGCAGCCAAAGTGACTCATCCATTGTTTCTTGGCATTGACAGTTATTCCGGATACTTTACCGTAAATGAATTTTACAAGTCACATATATTCTTCTGGTATATTCCGACTGAACACGACCAAAACGCACCCTTACTTCTATGGTTCTCCGGAGGTTTGGGACAATCATCTCTTGTTGATTTGTTTTTGCAAATTGGTCCGTACGTGCCGAGCAGCCCAGAATATTTAAGCTTGCGGGATCACTCATTGCACAAACACGTAAATCTGTTGATAATGGATGCTCCCGTCGGTGTCGGATTCAGCACGTCCTCGCAAATCAATGAAGAGTCTGTCAATAATGTTCGAGATTACTATGAAGCGTTGTCGCAGTTCTACAAGTTATTTCCAAGTTTAGTTACAAGAGATTTGTATATTGCCGGTGAATCATTTGGAAGTCAATCAATGATTAAGCTTGGATCGTTAATTCAAACCCAAAATAATGAAATTATTCTAAAACACAAGAAAGATAGAAGTGATTATGATACTATAAATTTAAAAGGATTCATTTTCCTTCGAGGAATCTTTGATATTCGTAAGCAGATGAATTTTGCTGATTATTGGTTCCAAATGGGCATCATAGATACCGCTCAAAAAAGTATCTTGGAACAAGAACAATATAAAATGCTGGAGTTTATAGATTCTGGGAAATATAAACTGGCGTATCATAAACTTAGTGATATCATTCTGGGTTCTAAGGAAATAACACCATTTAATACGCACTTTGAAAACTTTACTGGTTCTACCGAAATTGTAAACAATCCGGAATACGAAAACAGGACACATATTAATAATATGATAATATTTTTAAATAGGGATGATATTCAAAATGCGTTGCATACTGCAAACGTATCATTTTTGGAATTTTCTCCTGATGTAAAGAATATTTTACTTTCTTCCGCGACAATTTCTTCTACCGAGTTGTTAATGGAATTATTGCCTGATTATAAGTTTCTTTCAATTAATACACAACTTGATCCTTTAACGCCTGCAGTTTTTATGGATGGTTACTGGAATAGCTTTAATATATCACAGTTAAAGAATTATTCAACAACAAAGAAAGAATTTCTAGCAATTAACGACGAATTTGTGGGACATTACAAAAATGTTGAGAAATTGTGGCAAGTCTTTGTGAGACATGATGTTGATAAACAACTATTCTGGCAACATGAAATTGTATATAAATTTATCAACGACTATAGTTTTATCTAAACTCTGCGTTGTGTTTATTTACACCTTCCATAAAAACATACCTTGAATATTATTCCTTACAACGGTATAGGTGCTGCCACCTGTGAATTTAGAAGCCACATATAACGTCAAGGTTATAATTTTGTTTACCTTCATGTGCTGGAACTTTTCGGTTGTAACCGAAGTTATTTCGTTAATTATTACTTAAAATGCATCCTAAAACTTATTATAACACGATATTATCGCAGTGCTACTCACCATGCGGCAACTATCTAGTAGTTGGTGATATTTATGGACATATTTCTGTTTTTAAGTAAGTGAAAACATGCTTCTCAGTTGTTTTCATCACATGAACATTGCATTCATTCTGAATATTAATTTTTAGCCTACAAAACATAATCAATCCTAAAGAAAATACCGTAACACCAACTTCAGGAGTGACAGCTAATGATAGGAAGCCCAATAATACATTCCCAGTTCAAGAAGACATTCAGATAAACTGTTTGCTGACAACAACGAATTACCTACTTGTTGGATCCCTTGGGGAGATAGCAGGGTACAATTGGACAAGTGTTATAAAGAAAAGTGATGTTCAGCCAACATGGAAAATAGAGTTACCAAATCCATCCGAGACATTTGAAAGAATTGAGATTAACTGCATGATATTCAATGAGGAGAAAGGAATTTTGCATGCTGGATGTTCTGACAACAAGATTTATGCCATTAGTATTGAGACTGGAAAAATACTGCATACCTTAAATAAACACACAGACTACATACACAGTATTGTAAATCAGTAAGAGTTCTAATTTTAGATTATATGCACACTATATATTGGCAATGAACTTGACTGTTTGATTTTCAGAGGAAACAATTTAATTTCCGGAGGCGAGGATGGATTTGTGAACATTTGGGATTTGCGGTCGAAAGAGGTTGTTCACAGTTTAGAACCACACCAAAATAGTAAGCTTCAAAGACCTGAAATTGGAAAATGGATTGGCGCAGTTGCAATTAATGATGATTGGCTTGTGAGTAAAACTGCAACATAAACATAACATTTTTAGAAACTATTTTTGGTTGTATCTGAGTAACATGTAATCACTTTTTCTAGTTGTGCGGCGGTGGGCCAAGATTATCCTTGTGGCATTATCGCTCGTTGAATCTATCCAATGTTTACCCAATCGAAGACCGCGGCATTCACGTCGGACACTTTTACGGGGATAAAGTGTTCGCCGGCGGGCGGTGTCCCAATTTTTATCAGATGAGTCTGAACGGTGACATTGTCTCTGTCATTAAGACATCTTCGGTGAGTATCTACAGCGCCGTTTTTCAGACCGAACCACACAAAGCCATGTGTCTCAGTGGTTCTAGTCCCAACATAGATATTTGTAGTAATTTTAACTATAAGGATCAAGTCTTAGTTCTTGACTACGAATAAAATATCTCTCCTAATAAATACAATGGTATACTTATTTATAAAATATACATATATTCACAATTATTAGATATTAAAATAGGTTTTTCTTTAAACAAACTAGGACATATGGTATAGGTTTCTATTCTTTCATTTCTATGCAGAAACCTTATGCTTATATACGTTTTTATTAATTTCCTGACCGTGTCTATATTTAGTTTTTGTCCTACGCTTTGTTTTCGTTTCTAATAAATCGGATATTTCCAGCATAAAAAAGTCTTGCAAGTATCAGTATCATGAGCGAGTATAAACGAAAAGTAAACATTACAATCCTATAAAAACGGGGTGTGTTATATTATGTCTTCATACCAAGTGTAACCAGCTGTAAATTATATAATCTGACAGAAAAAAATCGCTCAAATTCGATTATCTCACAAAAATCTTTGGCTGGCGCTCAATGTAGACTGGTAATAGCCGACTTTCAACATATTTCGAGATTTATGAACGTTCCAATGCACTGCACTGCAACTCGGCACTGCCTACGCAATACTGTCGAGCTCTAAAAATGCGGCCCACACCTAATCGTTAACACCAGTCACAGACTTTGCGGAATAGTCCACCGAAAAACGCTCGCCGGTCGAATTAAAATCAGAAATATCATCCATTTTAATAACTTTTAACATATTGTTAATTTTGTCAGTATCAACATCGGCCATTTCGACATCGCCGCTTGTTTCCTCTTCGCATACTGTGCAGCTGGTGATAAACTGTCCCAGAGCTGATCGAAACTCCTTACTGCAGAAGAAATACACATAAAAATTCATTGCGAAATTGGCCAGTTCTAAATTGTTTGCAGCTGCGCGGAAGACTTGAAAACCAAACCATGCTTCCTGTGATTCAGAATAGACTAGTGACAAAATGGCAGATGGAGTCATCGTGATGAAAAACAGCACGACGATAGCGTGTAGAAGAGCGATGAGACGTTTTTCTTCGTGGTATTTTTTGCTGCGCAAAGCTTTCTTGTACTTGGCTTTGCTCTCCTGATCAAAAACATCGCGATTACGTGTTCTTATCAAAGCCTCCCGAAGGATTTTGCGCTTGTTTGTGATGATTCGAAACTTTCGAATGATGAGCACGTTCAGAACGCTGAGAACAACGCAGGGTCCAAAGCGAACAAGGCCCTCTGATATGAACAAATAGATTTTCCAGTAAATCGTGTCGGTGATGGCTTCGTTTTCATGAAAATCCCATTCAACGCAATCGCGCCGACCAGTAAAATTCAAACGGCAGACATTTTTTAGGGCTGTCAAGGGAGCGCTCACCAAAATAGCGGTGCCGTAGCATCCCAAGATGGCAAACTTCGCCACGCGTATACTGTGCACATTGCGGAACTTTGTCGGTAGACAAACTGAAAAATATCGCTCAACCGTCAAACAAACCACTATAAACACACTGGACGCAATAAATGTATTATTAAGGAATAGTTCAATGTGCGCGTAATAAAATGCCGCTTCAAATGATTTCGATTGCGAATAATTCCATCGGACAACCATAGGGATGGTGGTAATCATCACGGTAACATCCGAGATTGCCAGAGCGGTTAAATACACTCGAGTACTGCCTTTAATGAAAGGCTTGGTTGTTATCACTAGCAGATTTAACACATTTCCGAAGATGCCCATCGCTACCGTCAGTGGCGCGATTATTTGGTAAGCCACGCGGCGAACCTCGGAAGTCGACTCTTCGAATTTGGTGCTATTTGAAAGCTTTGAGAAGAAGATTTCCTGCTGGTCGCAGACATCCGACGTCCTACAACCCAAAACCACAAAACACACGCAATAAAAAACCATAATCAATAACATATGCCAAGCAGGCCGAGATTAAAGAGTGGAATTAATATTATGTGTACGGCGTTTGTTGATTTGGTGTTGATTCCGCTCATTATCGGCGTGGTGTTTCAAAGCTCGTTTATTAGGTGTAATTTACCGTCGGCTGAACAAATACGAAATGCTTAAGTGATTATCGGCGGGCTAATAATGGGGTCAACGTCATCAACCAACATTTAAATACGCATTGCAACTCACCCGGCGAAAAATTGGAAAAACATGTTGTCTCTGTGCCGACAATTGTTTCACTACTAACACTTGTTGCCGTAGTTGGAAGTTTTCCACACCACGGTCACTCAAGGACTGAATCGCTCCAATCGTTTATCAATCAAATATAGAAGTTGTATCAATCTTCAACTGCGCATCCATAATTTTTTGCGATCTGCTGACGGACGTAATCCAATATGGCTTTCAGTAAAATTGATTTGATTAAAATACTATTACCGCATCGCAAACATTTGCGCTGCGCGCCTCCACAAGATTTAGGAATTCGATGTTTATTCATCTACTTGGTACAGACACTAGATTTATACCACACACCAAGGTGTTTTAATCTCAGGTAGAGAACAAAACAAAAGTCAACCTGATTGATTATGTGTGCAGTGTGTCTACGCGCTTACGCAAATGCAATCCGTCACCCCGACTTGAACAGTTTTGAAAGTTTTGCGGCGTGATCCTGCACCGACAGCGACACACGAAAGCGACTGAAAATGTTTTTCATGTGCAATATGTAGATATACGCAGGACTTGGAGGAAGGCGACAGGCGTTCCCGTGTAATTGGCGCACGTTTGCGCATCGGGTGGCTAATCGAACATAGTATTTTTAGATGATGCAAGGAGTTAAATCTTCATCATCATGCATGTTGAGTGATGGCGCCGATGGGGTTCTCCCTGTGGAAATTAATATGAGTGAGTGTCAACATTGCATTAGCAAATGAAGTAGAATATAGACTAAAAACAAAACAATTTACCTCGTTCTTCTTCATTTATTTTACTTGTTTGTTTGTTGAATGTACTTATTTTTAGATATCATAGTATAAACATTATCGTGACATAACTCTTAATAGCTTATTATAATTTATTTATTTTATTTTTAGGCGGCTGTTTACATTGATCATTATAAATATTGAGTATTTTTAATCGACCATAAATTTGCATACACAGAGATTTCATCACATACTCTTTGCGTGATGTTGAAAGAATTTTTCAGTTGAAACATTTGAAACATTAACAACTCGTAGAGAATCGATATTTTCAGTGCACAAGTAGTACCACACTGCGGCTGATAGATCTACTCTTTGTAAATATCTCTACCGCTCGCCAAGCAGCAGTACCTGGTTGAAATTTATTAAATTCCTGCGAATGAAACAATTGAACCATTTTTAATCATTCAATATTTTTGGAACCTTGAGAAGTTTAAAATCACTATAATTAATTAATATAAATATCAATCCAATACTTGAAATAATGGTTAAGTATCTAAGAAAATATCAAATTATCTTTAGATTGTGCAAGTTTAACAAAACAGTAGTATTGAAGTTACTCAATAGCATAAAAAGTAAATTCATCGTATCAAATTGGACACTTTATTTACAATAATAGCACACCTGTTGTCTTGTTGAATATTTGCAGGTACCTGGCTTTTTTTTTCCTTTATACTCTATAGCGAAAGTGCTTAGTCAAACATTTAGACGCCCGATCCCTATTATCGCCCTATTACATCGTCGCGACAGGGAACCGAAGGGTCCTCGCTGTAGCATCCGGCCGTGCCGTGCTAAACTGCACCCAACCATCAATTCTAACTTGCAATCTAGCTGACGAAGGTACAGAGTTGGATCATTAGCTTTTAGAGTTCTTCAACTGCAAACAATGATGAAGTGGTGTAATAAAATCAAATTTAATTAGTAATAAACATGTGGTAGGAATAATTGAATTGTTGTAGTTTTAAGTGTATTACAGTTTTAAATTAAGTTTTGAAGGGCACATGTGTTGATCTGTCCCTGAAAAGATAGAAGCGTGCGCGTGGTATGATGGTATGCCCTGCTCATGTCTGGTAGATGTGGTACCTCGGTCTTGGACACTATCGAAAGGTGGGGGCCCCACCAACACAACCAGTCTCTGTTTCTCCGTGCTGCACACAAACACACCATTAGCCGGGCAACGTGACTCGAACATGTTGCCTCATGCACCGTGCGTCGATGGAGTGGAGTAGTTGAGTTTGAGTCGGTTCAGTTAACATCGTAGCGTGCTTGAACGAACTCGCTTGACTTAAGCGCGGTTCACATCGACTTTCGCTTACGCTGTGCCGAACTGTCGAAAACATAACATAAACAAACGTTGTGAATCTGGTGCGTCTCCTGTTTTCATACTCTCAAGTTACGCGAAACCGCTTCATGACGTGCGGGTGATCCACAAATGCGGTGTCGGAGTGTAATGTGCGCGATCGCGTCGAGCAAATGTCTTCGCAAATCGAGAAGAAGGTGATCATCGTCGACGTCGATAACAGCAATAGCAGCGGCAAGATGAATCCGAAATTACGGCGTCTCATTCAGACATTCTGTGTGGTGCTGTTGGTGTCTTACACTACGCTGCTGGCTTACCAGTCGCTCTCTCGCGCCACAATCAACAACAGTCTGGAGGTAAGTTATAAACACAACCGGCGAGAGTGAAACATCGCGCATAAGCGAAATTTCTTTCTCGAGCATGCTGAGGTGCAGGATTTTGCGCGCGCGTTCGGAATCGCTTGAAAATTTTAGCGCCACGAGCCAAATTCACCTTCCGAAATATTTTTGGTACCTGTCTTCTGGTGTTTTGGCGTTTAACATACCACACAAAAGTTTACACATACCTGGCGCGCTAAACGTTTGGGTGTTAATTCATTGCATTGTTGACATCTTTTAGAGTCCTATTTTAAAGTGTATATAATAAACTTATGTTTGTTTTTCAGAGTGTGTTAAGCGAAAAGTTAAGCTTAAAGGATAAAGACTTCGGTGGTAGTTTTGAGATCGAGGAGTCGCGGCATCGCCTCAAAGAAGCTTTATCCAAAAGCGAGTTGACCAGTGAAATACCTTCAGCGACCGCAACTGTGAAACCACCCTCAACCACTTTGCACGATGTTTTCATAAGCGTCAAGACCACAAAGCACTATCACAAAAGTCGACTGCTCATCATACTGAAAACGTGGTTTCAACTTGCCAAAGCACAGGTAAAAAAAAATTAATAATCCATTGTTTTTGTGATCTTTCAAGAAACTTATTGAAAGTTCTGCTACCACATGTTTTTAATAAACAAGCATGTGCTTTTTATGCCTGGATGGTATTATGAATACAATCGAAAGATAATATACACTTCTAGGTATAAACAAAGCCGCAAGTGAAGAATATAAAAAAAAAACTTATAATAGTTTACGCGGCAAATGCACACGAACATGCACGCAAACTACTCGGGTATTCATGCTAGTTGAGCACTAATGGGGTTCGCCGGGGTCGGAAATTGAGTAACACAAGCACACGTGTACAGAGGTACTGTATGTATGTATTCGTATGTGCAGTCATTTGTGTACGTGCATGTGGGTTTACTAGACGCGTGTGTGGCGCGCAGCAAGAGAGGGGTTGTTAATTGCGGGTACCTTAGGGGCGCGCTTTTCCCACGAGCCCTCCTCGGTTTAATAAAGGCCAGACACGTGTCGCGCATGCGACCAAACACACATCATTTGATAGATCAATGGACAATACTCTACCTTCAATTATTCCGCCAATAATATTTGCAGAACTTTTCTCACGAGTGTTTTTTTTCAACTTATCACTCGATGATAAAATGTTGTATAAGTATCATTGTCGTTTAAGTTTGCTCATATTTCGTGTGTGTATATATTCAGTTGTAAGTTATGCGATATGATTGTGCAAACATGACGTGTGCGTGCCTAAATTTGTACGTGCAGCTTATATTCACTTTTTACGTTTTTATCAACAACTGCATCAATTGTTAAGTTGAAATGCAATTTGCATGCGCATATTTTACTGCATGTAACACATTAAATCGCTTGTCTGTCTGTCAGTCAGAACCGGTGATATGTGATATTATTTAATATCCTCGTGAAGCAATTAATCAATGCCTCGCGCCTGTGAATGTCTTTCGTTGGCGTGTTTGACAATGCAGAAAATTGATGTCACTTTAATTCTCTATAATTTAGTTTGTCACCAAAATAAAAACTTTCTTGCGCTGAGAGTTTACACTTGGGAAACTTTAGATACTTCTTGCTCTCGTAGTTCCAGCACACGAAAGAAACCTCTAATTAGTTTATCATTAGCAGGCAGGTTGATGAACATGTCACTAAATAAATGTTTCATTCACGGTGCGTGCCTGCGTGCCCAAACTGTGTGCGTGAAAACAGTTTGGTAAGCTATTTCGCGCTGTGTTTGTTTACCCAACTTCGCAAGAGCGCACGAATGCTGAATACCGAATACGCGGGTTTTGAAGTTTGCACGTTTGCCATCATTCACACCTTTTCGAATTGAAATGTTTGTGTTGCGTTCATTCAGTAATGCCTATTCCCTAGTCGACATCATTCGTGCAATACGTGCCAATGCGACATTCATTAGAGATGAACAATAATAAATTAGTTGCAATGATGTAAACCGCAATGTATATAATGCTACAGATCGTAATCATTTGTTGTGGGCAGTTGATGAGTGAAATAATTAACAATGACTATATTCGTGCTCTGAAATTGAAAATGTTGTCGTGGACGTTTCACTAGACGTGGTCGTAAAATGTTTTATTACTTGAAACAAATACAAATAAAAACCATACGATACTTCTACTAAATTGCTACTAAAATAGATGATACGCATCAGCGATTCAGCAATAATGGAACGATAGATAAATTATTTCAACTTTTTCTATTTTTTCCAGACTTGGTTTTTCACTGACACTGATGATCCTGAATTCCAACTAAAGACAAGTGAGTAACACGTATTAGTAATACTTGACTCTTTTAATTAAACAAATACTTTTTGTTATTGACGATCTTTGAGTCTTCTTCTGTACTCTAATTGATTGCCATTGCCGCTACTCGTCGCGTTTTTGTTCGGACGTCGATGGTGCGAACGTGTGATGTATGGAAATGCTGCCGCTTCGTTAAAGACCTTATACAGGCAGTGAACGCTTTGCGACGGCGTTTATTAGCGGCGGAACGAAAGGAAAATGTAGTAATACGAGTAATTTTCGCTGTCGTCGCCGTGCCCGTGTGCCCGCTCGCTTAAAATTCGCAGCAACACAAGAGCGTCGTTGATAATTAAACTAATTATTGATTTACCCGTGCTGCGCCTTTTGCGACCGCCGAACGAGTGCACTTAGTACGTTCCGGACGTATTACATAAAGCGGTTCGTTAATTAATGATCGGTGGGCATGGCTTTATTGGAAATTGCGGCACGTCAAACGATGACACGTTATCGTCCGTAAACGTGTTTAGTTTTCTCAAATCTAGGAGTAGTCATCTAGAATCAACAGTTTACTGCCTTGGCATTAATGTGTATCTAATGCGCGACCAGTGCTCTAACATAACCTAACTTTTCGTCTATGAATTCTAATTGCATTCCTTCATTGAACTGCTGAAGTATGCACTAAGTGAGTTGAGGGTATAAATTTTCTACATTATTCAACAAGCAAGACTTGCACCTAACTCTCGTGCAGTTATCAGGCAATCTCATTTCGCGTTCTGTTCACTTCCTGCAAAACCGAAACACACGAGAAGTCGAGAATAACAAACGTCCAAACTCTCGCGCCCCTCTTGCCTGACTTCACCACTATGTACGATTTCGAACTTCAAGAAACAAGCACACGAACAAAGTCCGAGGAAATAACATAATGTGTGCAGGTGCTAAGGTGTTTATGCTCTACTGGTCATTCTGCAAGACGGGCGCGGACTTGTTCCTGCGAGAACGCGCCCATTGTTTATTCCGACGTTTTACTTCTTTACTTATTCGCTTCTTTCGCGGCGCGTCTTCCGAGTGCTGCGCTGCTTTCAGGAAGGCGCTGCCGACACACAAAGGCAGATAAAGTCCGAAGTCTTAACTATTTTAACGAATTGCGAGCGCGCGAGTGAGCGAAATCTCAATGAGAAACAATGAACGAGATTTATGGCTTTCGTTGGGCGGATGTGGATCTTCTACGATTGGCCGATGCGTACAACGTACGCGAATTCTTAACGCAAACTTTTTATTTGTTTGCCGTGTTTGTTTTCGATCTGATTTAATAAGTAAAGAAGCTTCTAAGCAAATTCACATACCTATAAATTAACTCAATTTCGGTTCGCAGGAAATAAAACACACGATAAAAATTACAAACAGAAGCCCCGTCGAGCTAGACAACAATTATATCTTACATCTACCGTATAATTATGCCGCACTGGTCTCGTAAATCTTGTTTGCTTGTTGTAATTTTATTTTTTTGATAGAGTATTTTATACCCTGGCGTATACTAATTGTGCGTTTTATTGCTTGTAGGCCCGCCGCGGTTTATAAAAATGAAATTAATGCCGGAACTTTACGCGTTCATTAACAGTTGTCTCCGGTATGCACGAGCAGAACGAAATTAAAACTCCGCCTAGGTGAAAACTTGATCAATAAAGAAGCGTGTGCTCGCGCATGATCGTTAAAGCGTTCAAATCGTTTGATTGATGTCACTAATAAAATACCAGGTTTATTCAGGTAGAATTTAGATTTTAGAATCTTTGTAATTGCTTACTATCAAGATTTAGTACTTTTAGTTCGGATAAATTATAATTTAATCTGTTTAATTTGTTTCCCCGACACTTTAACTGTTGGCTTCCGGCTTGCGTATCAATGTGAACAAACAGAATAAAAATATATACATCTTCCAAATTGTTCGCCCAAGGCCGCAGCGCGTTTTTAATACGATTAACATTCACAGTTGCCGTCATTCACTCTCTCGCATCTTAAAAAGTGTATAAAAAGCTCCCTCCGCTTTTCGGTTGCGCTTTTTTCCGTCACCCTCTCGGTTTTGTAAGCATCTTAGGTTGTACAAAACTTCTTAAGATATTACTTCACGCTTTTCAATAAGGAAAACTTTGTGAGACCAAAATTGAAAACGTATGCGCCTAAAGAAATGCTTACAAAGTGTCGTGTCGTGCCTTGATATTTAATACAGTTACAGACAACGTCTAGCGTCTGACTCAATTACGTTTTTCTTATGCTAATACAGATGAGTCTATTTCGTCCCTAATGTGAATGCAATATGATTATGCCTATGAATGAGCCCGGCCGCGTCTGGTGTGTCAGCGATGAATGAGTTCCGAACGCATAGCGTTACTTATGCTCACAATGTGTGTCATTTGACAATCACGCTGACTCTGGAAGAATATCTGAGTGTGCATTTAAGTAGTAATGTTCGCTGTGATGTATTACAGATGGCCATATGATCAACACCAACTGCTCCTCGTCGCACAATCGAAAGGCGCTCTGCTGCAAGATGTCCGTTGAGTTCGACACATTCATCGACAGCGATAAAAAGTAAGTGCACAACATGTTTATAATATATTTAATGTATGCACAATGCAACGCTGTGTACGTGTGTGAAAATGGATCACTGGGACGCGGTGAAACGAAACGAAAAGTCGTCTTTTACCCATTAATTCCGTATAAGGATGACAGTTTTTGCGTTTATTTTATTTTACAACCGGTTAATTTTTACTGAAGTCAATCGTGTGCGACTTTCATACGCATTTTTATTTCGCATCATCGCGAAACATATTTTCAGAGTGCTCTAGATCTGGACAGCTCATCGCGCCCGTTTGATGCACTCGCACAAGTGCGCGCACAGGAACGAAGACAGATGGTGCCCGAGAGCGCAATAAAAAATAAAAAAGTAAAACGCTTCCTTTTATTTTCGCAAGAATGCACAAACAATAACGCATGGCGTCTTCGACCAAGGGGGGAAAACAAAACCGCAGCGTTCTTTTGTACACTCGAGTGAACATTTTAATATTATGCGCCTGCGCGCTCGTTGATATCTCGATTATTACGCGAAATTTTTTTATTAAAAAGTTGAATTTATTGACACAATGGAACGCAATATCTCATCCGCACGACTTCACACTGACAACATAACCTCACTTCAGGTTGCTGCTTTTCTGGGTCATCCAGTTTACGTGTATAAAAAATATATTATAAACGAGTCGAAACGAACGAAAACACAAAGGCGTTACCACACAATTTACATATCACTAACGTATCAAAGTCCGCGCTTCGAGAAGGCCACATTTTTCAGAATGGGCAGACATTGATTGACGTTCATTTCACTTATATATACAATTTAAGCGCGTGGAATATACGTGGCTGGTTTTTATTGTGCGCCTTTTCGTATTATGTATTCTTTTTTCTTTTCTTCATTAGGCGGCATTGAGCGCAGTACAAACCATCTGGAAAAGTTGATATCTTGATTTATCGCACTCAAGAAAACGAATAATAGATGAAGAAATGAGTTTGTATAGGTACATTTTTTCGCTACCGTTATAAGTTTATGATATTCATCTGTAAACATTTATTACATTTGCATAAAACTAGACCAATCGATAATGCAATCACATTAAATCGATATTAATAATATTCTGTCACGATTACCATTTGAATTTATTTATTTATAATTATCGATATGTCGCTGGGCGCCCGAAGCGCATAGCGAAATTAATTTATTTCCTTTATCAGTCGCCCTGTGGTAATTAATCTTTAGTGGTTTGCAATGTACGGCAGTGGATATAATTCCGCATGATACTGGAAGATAAATTAATGGTTTGCTTCGATGCCAATTTTATTACACTATATGTCTCCGTGAGCGTTAGTGGAAGAAGTTGTGAATGCTTGTGTTCATCTTTCATGATGAAGCTATGAAAATATCATTATTAATCCATTATAGATTTTATTACTCTATAAATGAAATGAAATGTTTTTCACTTGCGTGTATAAGAAGCGGTTTGTTTTACGAGAGTGCAAAAGTGCAAACAAACCAAACTTTGAACCTCCACGCACGATTGCTTAGGCGTTGATCGATTTTGTGTTTCGCGCATATGGCGCTCCTGAAATCTATCTGATTTCCATTTTTATCTCGCACGATTTCCACCCTTCCACACACGCTTCGCATGAACCTGTTAGCTCAACGCTAAAACGTCTGAATGAATCGACTTCCTTTCGTGTGTGTGATGATGTGAAAAGTAGTGAACACTTTGAAAAATTCGTTTAATAAGATTACGTATATACAATATGCCCGTTTTTCAAAATGCTTGAACATCTCACTTTCTGAAGCCGGCGCTTCTCGCGGAGATGGGCTTCGTATTAGATGTGAGGGATTGCGGGACGAAGGGCGCGCGAGGAGATTACAGAAAGGTTTTTTGCGCGCCTGGCGTCGCGTTATGTTCGTTCGTCATAAAAACTTGTCTGGCGAATGAACCCTTGTCGCTCCCTTTCCAACATTCAAGCATAGAAAAGCGTGTTCGCTGGGTGGTGGAGGCGCCGGCATGCTATGATTAAATTTGACTTTCATATTCTAGTAATATCCATTTTATTTGAGTAAAAACTAAATGCGAAACGAGCATAATGCAACGAGCAATGTATATATTTTTTGTTACCGCTCAGGAAAATCTGCAAATTGGATTAGGTTAGACTGGAACGATAACGTACTGTATTCAAAATGTATGCGCATAGGGTTGATACTCTTTGTTAGTTGCCTTTTAGCGCCGGAGGCTTTTATTACCTACGTAGGTGCACGAGAATTTCCGGTGCGTACCAAAGTCGATGGCACTTCCTGCCATTCTTTGCAACTTTAACAATAACGCCACTCAGAACACGTAGAATCTCCTCTCTACTTAACTGTTTAGTTATTTTAATCGAAATAATATTCTAACTCGATTTTTCTCATTGGTATTCATTAGTTGCAGTATCGTGATTTGTTAAAAGCCGTAACGTGAATCTTTAAATTTAGAGTACATGCAGTGTTGTGCCGACGCGAATCCAGAATTTGTTGTATTTGCAATTCAAATGGATTGATGCAAGCGCGGCCGCGGCGAGAGTCGATCGTCATATTCCCAACGGTTTAATGCAGCGCAACAACGCCTCGCACAAGAAGCAAACCGCTTGCAGAATACGAATTTAAATTTACACACAGTGTGTATGTATGTACGCGGCTGATAATACTGGCGAAACGCCCTGCGAAATTGTTTCAGCACACAACAATGCGAATCAATCATCGTCCGAAATCCACCATGCGAAAGAAACTCCTGCATTTAGGTTATGTCTGTGTACGCGTATGTATAATACCAGCAAGTACACATAACCTCAATTTGCCGCCGTAAGCATATTTGAGTATGTGCACGAAATTTCATCAATATGTAATGCTGGAAACAACCGTGCAGCATATTGCTACTCGATTCGCATTGGTGGGTTGCTAGGGTTGCATTTGAGAAGGAAATTTCACAGGATTCGATCCGATTCTATAGAGTTAGTAATAAGCCAAACACTATTGACATCTATGATTTGTACTACACGTATTTAATCACCAATGCGTGTGTATTAACGCGCCCGGACGACAAGAAGTGCACGTAGGCGTTCATTCATTTACTACGGCGAATTAATCCGTTAACTAATTGCATATACATACCTTGCTGCTGTAATCTGTAATTATTATGATATGCTGATCATCAGAGAGCGGCAGCGCATCTCTGGGTGGCCGATGGGATGACTTAGTATTGCGATGAAACGTCTTCATTTCTTATCCTAATTAGTTACCTAATAAACGCAATCGAATGCATGACTAACTAATATGTTGGGAATTTACGTGTGCTGATAATTAAATGTTGTTTCGTGCGGCGTGGCAGCGTTTATCTATGAGCATCGATGTCTGTAAAGAATGTTAAGCGTATCACGAGCGCTCCGCATAAAATAACGATAAAAATTTATTCAATTGCACGATATTAACTTATATTGAACTATGCAAATGGTGCACGTTCACCGTCTGACACGAACGTACCGAGTTTATTATGCAATATGTAAACATTGCATTAATAATTTGTAAATTTACTAAATCACTAGATTTCCTATCTTAATCCAACCAGTAGCATGCACGGACTTAAATTTGAATTGAAATTAAATAAGGAAATGTCAATTACACTGCAGCGGGCTTGTTTTAATTTATTTTGTGTATAATTTTTACAGTAAAGAGAAATTTACGCGATCGCACAGCGCAGACTATTTAGATTAGCATTTTTCTAATTAATAATTATACAAGCAGGTAGATAAAACAAGGCGAGTTCGGCGTAAATAAGAAGTGGAGTATGCGAAAAGCTGCAAACAAGCCAATGAATGGGAACTTCTAACATCGTCTCTTGAATACTGGGAATTCGTTTGAATTTTAATGAATGCGCATTCAAACATCAATTGAATCAGTAATTAGGAGTTAAATGTGAGATAAAAATCGTGCTTGCGACCAAATTTAAATTCTTGTGCGAATTTTTTTAATGATTTATAGTTCCGTGATGTTACAAGTAGTAAGAAAATACTGTTTTCCGTACTGGAAGTTGTGCCTTTTCACAGGAAGGTTTTAAAATGAATTTTTGAACACTGTAGGTAGTGCATAAAAGTAGATTAGTAACTTTTTTAAATTTATTTGCGAGACAATTCCGGTTTGAAGTAGATTTAATGAAAGCCACGGCGTGGTGAGTTGCATCTGCGAGTGTGGAATGCGCGCAGGTCGTATTCGCCGCTTGTAATCATTTATTTAGCATGAATTACACTTTGCGCGGACGCATTCGCAATCGCATTGCGTGTTGAAGTGGCGCGATGATATCGGTGCAGGAAAACGGTCGCGCCTCACCTAGCGCTCGCGCGCGCGCGCGTTCAATTAAAACCGTAACCGCGGCGCGCACCGGGCGTTCGACAACAATTTAATCGCTTTTTACGGTCGAAAACGGGCATGTAATATTAAGCGGCCATATCGCATGGCCGCAAGCGCAGAAGCGCGCGTTTGTCATGGCGCGCGGATGCGAATAAAAGGTACAACACAACCGATAATTATACATATTGCCGCGAAGCATGCGGATGATCACCAACTATATCCGCGCCCGCTATTAGAACATTAGAGTATTCCCGCATTATCGCTTGGATCTGATTTATGAAAATCCGATAACATCGCGCGCGCTCACTTGCTCGTGTAGGTTTTTTGTGTGTTGCGTGCCGGAGGAGCATCGTGTGTGATACGTGCTCGAACATTTGTCCCCTTGGGTAAATAGAGATTTCAATAAGACACTCCATATAGTATCCATCGGCAATGCCGTACCGTCGAAGATTTATACCGGCTTCGTGCATATGCATTAGTTGCTCGGTTGGTCTGGAACAAGATGCGGGCGTATTCAGGCGAATATCCCTGAAATGCTTGGTTTTATTAGACTTGTTGGTAGTAGGTACTTTTAAAGCAATGTCCCCGCATCAGGTCTTCTCACATCGGACAATGGAAACTGAAGAGA